GACAGAAACACTCGTGAGAGACAGCTTCATTATCCCAACCAAACAAATGGTTCATGTGATATGAGTCACACTGATTCACATGAAAGCTTTCCTGATACCAATGGTTCTACAAATCATCCATATGAAAAGGCTCCAGATTTTAGGCCTACGGAGCCTCTACCAGTGGAAGTACTCTCCCCTCCTGAGGGCAGTAAGCCAAGAGATAGCATTGAAGGTCATCATAATCGGCCACATCGTCCAAAATCTATACCCTCATCGACACAAGAAGATCGGTACAGTCTATGTCTCTTACCCTCAAAAACATAGTCTTCATTGAATTATTACCATCGATCACCAAAGCCTCTATCTAATTCACTGTAGTAATGTACATGTAGGGTAACGCCTACGCAGTCATACCATTTGACAGATGATCATGAGTTCCCTCCTTTGTAGTTGTGGTCTGAATTACAAACGCTTGCTCTCTAGACCGTTATAGGAACAGGTATAGTTTTCTAACTTGGTTTGTCTCCTAAGTTATTTGTTTTTACCTCCTGCAAGAAAGAGAAAAAAAGAATGGAGCTGATATGTTTTGGGCTGTGGTTTTTTCTTGTATGTTATCTCTGGTGCTATAGAATAATTTATATGTATCTTTATCAAACTTTCTGGACAAAACCTTTGCAAAGCTTTGTATTTTCTACTTAGACAGGTTTGCTGAGTGTATTATAGGATGTTTTTATTTTCAAAGTCTCTATTCTATCTTCGTGATTCTTCTTCTTGTTTCTTTTTGTCAAAGTTCTTCTTTTCTTCTTCTTCTTGTTTCTTGATTCTTCTTCCTAGTGGATGGTAAAAAGTAGCAAGGTTTTGGTCATTATAAGTTATTTCATATCATGTCTTCTTTTAGTAAAATATGTCAGAAAAATTCTTGATATTGGGTCCCATTGGTGACGTAAAATAGTAAGAGTTTCTTTAGCGGGGAAAGATAATGGTAACTGTTAGCAGAATAGTTAAAAAAGAAAACTTAAAGATAAATTATCGCTCTTAGTATCGCTAATTCTTTCCGCTTGGTAATAATCAAAATGGTAAGGTCCAATTGGTGACATCAAATAGTAAGAATATTTTAGCGCGAAAAGATAATGGTAACCGTTAGCAGAATAGTTAAAAAAATCTTAAAGGTAAATTATGTTTTTAATATCGTTAATTCTTTCCGTTTTTATGATTGGTAACAATCAAAATGGTTAGGTCCGATTGGTGATCAAATAGCAAAAATATTTTAGCGCGAAATGATAACGGTAACCGTTAGCAGAATAGTTATAAACAAAAAAAATCTGAAAGTTAAATTATTACTTTTAATATCGCTAATTTTTTTGCATTTATGATTGGTAACAATCAAAATGATAAATCATTCATTGTCAAAATCATCATTGAATTATTATGTTATATGAATATTTTTTTGTTAGTTCTACTTCTATCTATAGATTTAGTTGACCACAAATCTGACCAGTTTATTCTCTCAATCAGTGCTGGATTTTGCAAATCACTTTCAAAAACATTGAATTTGAGTATTGTAATAAGAAAAACAAAAATTGTGGGAGGGGAAATAGTCAAATAAAAGGGTATGTATGTGTCAAAGTTACGCAATCATCGGTAACATACATAACTCTTAAACCACTCGTCTCTTACATATCTCCACAGAGACATACTTAACGTTAATCAATCTCTACTTAACGTTAATCAAATCTCTAGTTTTGACTTTTGTACACACAAAGAAATCATCAATAAAGAGCAAAACAAAGAAGAAGAAGAAAAAAGTTGAGCTTTTTGGGAATCAGAATCATCATCGATGGTGAATACAAAGCGTGGCAATAGGTTTTTCAAATTCAGAAATGTTGCTCTCTTCTCTTCCAAATTCTCTTCCTTTTTTTATTTTCAATAACTTTCCGGAGAAAAAGGAGTGAACTTTTTCCCCACTTTGATGGGCTGCAACCACATATTCTTCTATCTTTAACTTTTCCCACCAAACTTGTTCCTTTTTTTTTTTTTGTTTGTTTGGGTTCTGGGTCTGCTTTTTTTTGAATGAATGTTCAGATGATTGCGAAAGAAGAGCAGGACGAATACAAATTACGCAAACAAGGTCTTGTTGTTGAAATGGCTTCTCTTACGCTCTGTTTTCATTATTCCAGACTCTTTTTTTGGTTGCTCTTCCGCGTTTTCTCCTACGAGAATCACGAAGGAAAACCCAAGATTTTCTAGCACTTCTCCTCTTCTCTCTTCCCTTTCTCTGCATCGCGATCTTGTTTTTTCCCCCAAATTTTCGATTTTTTTTTTTTTTTTTGTAAAACTTTTGATAGATCCGGTACGGAGCCATGTATATGGAGATCTCTTCTGCTTCCGATGATTCGATTCCTTACGTTGAGACAGATCCTTCCGGTCGCTATGGACGTGTAAGCAAGGCTTTTACTCTATCTTACCTGATTGGTTATTTCTTGTTCTGAGTTTGATCAATCCCCAAATTCGAGGAAGCTAAATTTGATCACTTTGCTAATTTGCTTTGATCGTAGCTTTTCCTCTGTTTACATATTTCTAGACTTGATTATTGGGATTGCTCTTGAACATTGGGTTGATTCTGGTGTGTAGTTTAGAGAAGTGCTTGGTAAAGGGGCGATGAAGACGGTTTACAAAGCATTTGACCAGGTTCTAGGAATGGAAGTCGCTTGGAATCAAGTTAAGCTCAATGAGGTTTTCCGATCACCTGAGCCTTTACAACGCCTTTACTCTGAGGTTCATCTTCTCAAGAATCTCAATCACGAATCCATTATTCGCTACTGCACGTCTTGGATCGATGTCAACCGCAGAACATTTAACTTCATCACTGAGCTTTTCACATCAGGCACCCTTAGAGAGTAATCATAATCTCCTACCTTATGCTTTGTGCCTCAAACAACAATTTTTAACCTTTTGCTTAAAGAGAAACTTCTTGTCTGTCCTTACATCTGCAGGTATCGAAGGAAGTATCAAAAGGTTGATATCCGGGCAATCAAGAGCTGGGCACGCCAGATCCTGAATGGTCTTGCTTACCTACATGGACATGATCCTCCTGTTATTCACAGAGACCTCAAATGCGATAATATCTTCGTTAACGGCCACCTTGGGCAAGTCAAGATTGGTGACCTGGGCTTAGCCGCAATACTCCGTGGATCACAAAATGCACACAGCGTCATAGGTTTTCTCTTTCTTTTTCTTTCTCCATCTTCTTAAATAGAATTTTGTGACTTTCAGAATTAACCTCTGCCTTTCGCTTGAATATACCATTAGGAACGCCTGAATTTATGGCACCCGAGCTTTATGAAGAAGATTATAACGAGCTTGTGGACATTTATTCGTTTGGAATGTGTGTCCTAGAGATGCTTACCGGTGAGTATCCATATAGTGAATGCACCAACCCTGCCCAAATATACAAGAAAGTTACATCGGTAAGCAAATGGCCTGAGGCTCATCTCAATCATCATTATCTTCCCAGAATATATTTTTATATGTTAACTTTCTTTGATGTGGATTTGATTCAGGGGAAGTTGCCTGACTCTTTCCATCTAATCCAACACACGGAGGCCCAACGTTTTGTTGGTAAATGCCTGGAAACTGTGTCAAGAAGATTGCCTGCAAAGGAGCTCTTGGGGGACCCATTCCTTGCCGCAACTGATGAGAGAGATTTGGCACCCCTTTGTAGATTGCCGCAACAATTGGCAATCCAGAATTTGGCTTCAAATGGAACGGTGGTACAACATCTGCCGTCAACGACTGATCCAACTAGAACAACAGATATGTCAATAACAGGAAAGATGAACTCAGAAGACCACACCATCTTTCTTCAAGTACAGATTTTAGATGGCGATGGTACGTCAAAGTTCTACTTACTACAAATTTCTTGCCTGGTTTGATTGGGACATGAAAATTGTTGGATTTGAAGTAGCTTTAGTATTAGCTTCTGATTTTGGGTAACCTGAATGGTGAAACTTTGATGGAAGAATCACCGATGGGAAATGTTTTAATGAATCTGTTTGGCTGTGTCACAGGTCACATGAGGAACATTCAGTTCCCGTTCAACATTTTAAGTGACACACCTCTAGAAGTAGCTTTGGAGATGGTGAAAGAGCTTGAGATCGTTGATTGGGATCCTTTGGAGATCGCTGCAATGATAGAAAATGAGATATCTTTGCTCGTCCCTAACTGGAGGGCCAATGACTCTTCTATCCGGCACCAAGGCTTTGGTCATGAAGATGATGAGGACAATGGTGAAGCAGAGGGAAGAACGCGCCTTTTCTCCTCTGCTTCTTCCTCTCACGACTCTCATGTTGCAGTTAGAGAGAACAATGACGATTCTAGTAACGATGTGATCCCAGATATGGATGATGGCAATAAAAGCTCTAACAGGTTGTTGGATTCTTCAACATACCACTACTCACCTGCCATTGATGATGATCAAAGTCAGCAACAGCGGAGACGAGTAAGGCTACAGCAGAAAATGAGATCTCTGGTGGACACAAGAACGCAGGTGCTACACCGTTCGCTCATGGAGTTAATCAACAAGCGCCGTGGGCGTGGCTTCGACCCGAATGCGAACGAGCTACAACCTCAACCGTCGTCCACTGATTTCATTCGACGATGTTGATAATAGGATGATGAGAGAGAGAGCCTTTTGTGGCTCTTTCATGATAAAGACAGATCTTCATATTGGTACTAGCATTTTGATTTGTTGATATTATATGAAATAATTGTTTTAGAGTCCTTTGTATATATGATATTCTTAGGGAAGTGTTTATCTTTTAGCTCGATCTCGATCTGAAAGCGATGCAAAACCGCACAAATTCGATTTTTATAAGAATGAAGGTATTTCCTTCCGTGTGTTAAAGAGACATTTTAGATTACATTTATGCATTTACCATTACAGATTTACAGATATTCAAATAATTATAACTTAATATGCGAGTATTTTTTAAATCTTGATACGACGAAAGTTGTTTATCTTCTCGTATCAAACGTAGAGGCAGTTGAACAATTTAACAAACGAAAATGTTCTTAGATTGGTATAACCATTCGTCGAAAACTATGAAGACTTACTTTTATAGTTTTATTTAACCATAAGCTGATATCATCATCTATTAACTATAGTTGATCATATATAATAGGAACAAAATATAAGGCAGTATACAAAGGAAATTTGCGCAAATTAGGTTATCTAACCGCATGCATCCAAACAAAACCACGTCTATTTAAAAACATAATCACAACTGCACATATGAGCTAATCTTCACTCAACGACACCAACTTGAGCAAAAGCTATGGAGAGCAAAGGGCCATCGCCAATAGTTCCACTTGTGCTTGTTGTACTCTTCGGATGGTTCCTATGCGGCTCTTACCTTGTCTCACTATTAGAGGATTATGTATTACCAATCTTACAAACCGGAACATTCATTGTAGGAATCTTTCTCTTGCTTCTCCTTCTGCTTCTCCATGTCTTTTCTTCTTCTTGGATCTCTCCATGGCTCCCTTCTCTTCTCCTTTTACCATCTCCGGCTTCCACGACTTCTACTGACTCAGACAGCTTTGGTCTTGGATCCTTTCTTTTGCTTTCACTTTTTTTCATCTCCTTCTGGTTTTTTCAGTCACTCTAATGTTTATTCTACTTGTACATATATAGTTTCTCTCATAGGAATTTGTATTTTCCTGATTGTTCATGCAAAATATTGCTATATACATGTACATCTTAATTATAGAAAAAACTACTTGATAACTCATGCAAGATTCCAATATATTATGTTTTTTTTTGGTTAATTTATGTTTAAATGATTAATTACTGTATCACTCATATTTCATTTTCCTTGTAGAGAAACTGAATACAACACATATATCACCTGTGAAAACAAGATAAAAGAAAAAGAAGTAGGGATAAATGAAACATAAGAGTATGATAATAAAAGAGACAACCTAGCTAGGAGTTGCATAATAATGAGTCTATAGAAGAGATGTTATATAAGTCTCCGTGCAACCAACTTTAACGACCAACCAGCACGAAGGACATGAAATGAAAGCAAAGTCATGACACAGACGAAAGATCACATGCATTGCTTTGGGTTTTAGATTCAAACTTTAGGGTCAGATGTTTGAGTAATATGAGGTAAAAACTATAAGAAATTAAATTACGAAACTTCTTACTTCATTTTATCAGTTTTTCCAATATTTTTTCTGTGAAGATGGACAAAACATATCCAAGAAAATAATTTCACCAATTTGGTATATAATGCATGATTGGATTGGATGTGCTATAAAAATCTTTACGAATGCTTAAACTTAAATTTTACCATATCTAAACTATGTTATAAAAGAGAACTTTTAAACTATCTTCTTCAAACAATTAAAAAAAAAAAAATTGTTATAATAATGTTTCATATGTCATTTGAACATTTCTTTGATTATAAATGCCCATTAATTAGTCCATTACTTAGTGCAACTAGGTCAGAGCCCCCGCGGTTGCACCGCGGGGGAAGGTATTTAGAAACATTTGTTTATGATTTTATTGTAAATATTGTGTGTGTTTTATTGTGTATATGAAAATGTGTATGAGAACCGGGAAGAGTTGAATTTGATATTGTTATGATTAAGGCCCAATCTCAAACCCAACTGTTGACATATTATTTTTGGAACTGCACCGCCGTTTAATATGTGTCCGTTCAACAACAGGAAAAAAAAAGTAAACGAAAACGAAAAAGAAAAAATCTTCAATCTTCTTCTGCATAGAATTCAAAATTTCCCAGAGACCCATCAATTGAGAGATTGCATCTCCGATTTCTGTCTTAGGAAGCAAAAATAATGGAATTAAAATCGAAGAGATAAGAAAAATTTATGTTTTTCATCATTAAGATCTATATAAATAGCAATCGATTCGAATTCAGAAGTTGTGAAAACGTTGTTAAGAGCCATTTAGGAGAAAAAGTTTGTTTGATGGAAGTAAAGTAGATTGGTAATGATTTGTTTTTATACGGATGGTTTGATCATATATTTATACTGCTAACGCATATATTAACAAAAGTAGGATTTATGCAAAGAATATTCGTCAAAGTAATTGCAACGGCGAGATTTGAGAATTTTTTGATTAGAGAACACTTAAAAAAGGAAGTAATATCTCAACAAAATATATGATAAATGTTTGATATATAATCCGATTTTATATTATAGAGATTTTTTACGATTCTAATTCAAAATAAAGTAACTAAGATTGTTTGTGCGATAAATAAGGTATTTGTGCACTAAAAGGGTTATTAAGATCTAATCGCTGTTTTTTGCATAATCTTATTTCTAAATACGTTGGTATTTTGTTGATGGGAATTAAACTAAGATTTATACTTGGCCTAGAAGAATATACCAAGGGCGTCATTTAAGATTAATAAGTTTACCACATAAGCCGATTAATAATATATACGCAATTATCATTTTTGTTAGGTAATTAATGCTCTTTTTCGAAATTAATGTTTAATGGTCGTTATTTTCAGAGTTTTTTTTTTTGGTGAATATCGTTATTTTCAGAGTTTAATGTTTTGTAATTATGTCTCAAAGATCCGAATAGTATCTTTCCGGGTCATTTTTTCAATTATAACCCGATCCAAGTACATTTGTACTTCACTTTTAGTAATAAAGAGATTCACCCAACAAACCGTTGGATATATTTTAACTTTTTAAGAGGACCGACTTGACCCGAATACCCACCCAGTTCATTCTGGTTTTGCCTTCTTTCGTTTTTCTTCTTCGTCTTCTCAAATCTTTCGCGTTTACGGTTTCTTCGTTGGCAGGATTCGAACGAAAGCCACGAGACTACGTGATTCAACCCGAATACGATCCGAATCAGGAAGCTCCTTCCAACATCTTTCATCCCCAATTTCAAAGTTCTTCTCTTTTTGGCTGATGCTTTGCTTCAATGGCCTCTCTATCGGTAAGTCTCCTCTTACCCTCTCTCGATTGCACACCAAGTCAATCCGAACTATGCGTACAAGGTTTCGTCGATTTCCGTTTGTAGAACGTTTTGTGGTTTCTTCCAATTTGATTCCATTGTTGTTGTTGTTGCTGCATTAGGTATGTTGTTGATTCTCCAAGGCTATAATAATCTGTAACTAAACTTGCTTGGAGCTGGAGACTTGTTTACTTCGATGGTGTATAACCTGAAAATAAGATTAGGGTTTGGGTTTTCTGTTGTGACTACATCATCCCCTGGGTTGAAATTTCTCTCAAGTCATTAGGGTTTTCGGATACATTTGGTCTGTTAAAGAAGAAGAAAAGGTCTTGGCTTTTGGAGGATAATGTGTATATTGTGCGTTATACAAAAGTGGTCTCGTCAGGTTGCAACGATGCTGCCTTGGTTTGTCATTCCTTTGATTGGACTATGGGCTCTCTCTCAGCTTCTTCCACCTGCTTTTCGTTTTGAGATTACTTCTCCAAGGCTTGCTTGTGTGTTTGTGCTCTTGGTTACTTTGTTCTGGTACGAGGTTTTGATGCCTCAGCTGTCTACTTGGAGGGTACGTAGAAATGCCCAACTCAGGGAGAGAGAGAGATTAGAAGCTATTGAACTGCAAAAGCTAAAGAAAAATGCGACAAGGCGTTGTCGTAACTGCTCAACACCTTACAGGGACCAAAATCCATGTGGTGGGAAATTTATGTGTTCGTATTGTGGGCATGTATCAAAACGCCCTGTTTTAGACATGGCCTTGTCTTCCGGATTAGAGATTTCTGGTTCAGGGATTTTGAAGGATCTTGTTGGAAAAAGTGGAAAGATGTTGAATGGGAAGGGATGGAGTGAGAATGGATATTTGCACAGGCAAGAGTGGTCTGACAGCAACACATGGAATAGCGGGTCAAGCTATTGGCGGAATAATAGTGGTGGTACATTTGAAGGAGATGAAAATTGTTTGGTGGAAAAATCATACTCTGGTGGTGTTGTTTTTGCTTGCAGGTTGCTGACTTCTTTTTTCATGACCATTTTGTGGCTTTGGAAAAAGATATTTAGATTTAGCTCATCAGCTGATGATTCGTCACTTGACCCTGATCAGAGGCGGTTGCTAGCTAGGCAGGGTGAGAACGGGACCAGCTATCATGAAAGTAGGGTAGAAAAAGCACGTAGAAAAGCAGAGGAGAAAAGACAAGCTAGGCTAGAAAAAGAGCTTTCAGAGGAGGAAGAAAGAAAACAAAGAGAAGAAGTCGCAAGACTAGTAGAGGAACGGAGAAGGCTGAGAGATGAGATACTTGAGGCCGAGAAATGCAGCAAATTATCAGTGGCTGCTAAGGAGGCAGAAAAGAAGCGTCAGCAGAGAAGAAAAGAGAGAGATAGGGCCTCAAGTAAGAGCAATTCTGATGGTGAAGAGGTTGACAAGAGAACAAGAAAGGAAACTGAGCAGAAGCGTGGGCTTAATAAGAGCGATCATCTGGAACACGCACCTGATAATTTAAGGGGCCTCAACATGGAAAGGAGACATGGACATGGTTTAGAGAATAATGTCACTAGTAACGGTACAAAATCTGGTGGTAGGTACTTTGATCGAATGAAGGGTACATTTTTGTCTTCTTCAAAGGCTTTTACTGATAGTCGTTTATTTGGGAGAGGTGTTTATACTTCTGCTACAGTTGCAAAAGAAAACAAGCCCATTGGTTCTACAGATAATTCTCACACCTATGCTCATTCGCATATCAATCCTCCTGAATTTGTGGCTATGAAATCTGTCCCAAATGAAGAGGAAAGGAACACTAATAATCCAGTAAGTACCCTTTCCAAAATTTCTCATCTATTTGTGGTCTATATAGTTTTTGAGTAAACTAGTGTGTTTTTTTTTTTTTTTGGACAAATTTAAAGTGGCCTTAAAGATAGAAATCTCACCTTCAGTCATATGTTTTCTGTTATAAATGTTTTTAAAAGTTCATATTCATCTTGATAAATTATCAATTAAAATCTGATTCAATTTACTTCAAAGTTTTTTTTTTTAATCACTAAAACTGAATATCTGATACTCTTTCCTCAGGTTGTTTCTGAGCCAACGCCGAGTAGAGAACCTAGAAAATCATGGCACCAACTGTTTGCCCGTTCAACTCCTGTTCCTGTTTCCTCGAATGTTAATACTATAAGTAGACCTAGTACGAATCCCCAGCCAATTGTTCAGAGCTCACAGGTTACCAGTCAAGTTTCCTCAATACGAACCTTCGACAATCCTATCAGTTTTGGGCTCCCATCGCCATTCACCATACCGGTGTACTCTAGTGGATCCACTACCAGTAGTTTAGGTTTCTCACATCCAACAGAGATTGTTTTTCATCAACCCGGAGAAGATGAGCGTTTTGAAGATCCTTGTTATGTTCCGGATCCAATATCTCTTCTGGGACCTGTTTCAGAATCACTTGATTTAAGAGCTGCTGGGTATGAAACTCGCATAGGACAGGTAAAATACCATGCGATGAAGAATACACCTTCTTGTGAAGCCAGCAAGCCATCTCCAATTGAATCTCCCTTGTCTAGATCACGGGCTGCGGATGAAAAGCAAGCTAATGATGGAAGCTGGCAAATGTGGAAGAGTCCCCTAGGCCAAAACAGTCTCGGTTTAGTTGGTGGGTCAGCAAATTGGATTATACCTTCTGAAACAAGTAGATCTAACGAGGAAATTGCTATGCACCATGTGCCTCAGCACAGAACAGAATCATTATTTTCAAAAGAGGATTGTCAGCTTCATCAAGGTGCTTATTCACAAAGGAAGGACTGTCTTGAACATGATCAGAGAGATGGCGTTTTCAGCCCCATCAGTGGTCCAACCACTACTGATCCTTGGTCACAGAAAATGTTCTTCCCTGCATTATCTGGCATTGAGAGTCCTTTTTCTTTCACCACACAAACAGAAAGCATCTTGAACAATGTGGCGGCGTACAGAAGTCCAACAGGATCTGCTCCAGACAATCCATTTGAACATCCGTCTCCTAATCACTGGCTCAAGTAAGTCCTGAAAACCTTTTTATGTTTCTGTAGTTTTATGAGATGGCAAGACAAATTAAAAATCTTGAACAAAAGCAATGAAGAGCGGAGTGATATGGTGGAATTTGTGCTGTGCAGGAAGGTGAAGAGCTCAGGGGATGGGATTGGGAAGCAATTTGTGGCGGGCGGTGAAGTTGAGAACCACCAAAAAGATGTAGAATCGTTTTGGTAGTAACAAAATGAGGTCAAATTTTTTGCAGAAACACACACGTTGACTGTGTCTGTCTGTCTGTCTCTGTCTTTGTCCTCTCGGGTCTTCAATGGAGATTTAAGAGTTTTTACTTGAAACATCTCCGATGAACACTCGCTAATCAGGTAATTTTTACTTTATAACATACCTCTCTCACAAACTTTCTTTGGGTTGGTCTCTGAACACGTCTCTACGAAAATAAACGAAACTAAATATATACTCTTTGATTTAACTTTAAACGGCCAAAGTAGTAGAATGTGTTCCCATCTATGTCGATCGTACGAAGCCGTAATATGCCTATGTGATAATATTTAATTAGCCAGAATCATGACAAAAATAAATCAGTACAATCTAATATGCGATATCAAAGCTAAAAGAACAAAGTTTAGCGGACAAAATCAAAAGCAACGGCCCGACACACCAAAAAGGCATCGTTTCGTCAAGGCCACTTTTCTAGTGTTCTTAAAATGGCACAAATCACAACACTGATTTACTCTAATATTAGAGTAATATCACTTACCATATATAACCAGTGGGATTAGTTTTTCACCTAATCAAGGAAGAAAATAATCAACAAAACAAAATGTCATAGTGTATGTTTGTAGGTTTTTTCTGCATGTATAAAGTTTGGTTACTCTCTACATCTAGATACTATTAATTTTGATGGCTAATGTCTAATGAGTTGTTAGGAGTTTGCATAAAAGAAACTGAATTATTTGATTGGACTTTGAAGATTTTATATAATGTTTTTTACCTTTTAAGTTTTGTATGTCACTGCTGAGTGCTGACCTCTATTTTTTCACCGCAGGTAAAAGGGAGTGACCTGTACGTCCTTTTTTCTGGAAATTTCTTAGTACAAGACGTAATGAAGATTTTCTATCTTTTTTTTCAGACTTGTGATTGATTCTGAGACTTCATTTTGGTCTTTTTTGGATTTTTATCAATAAAAATAATTTAGCCATTGTTCTTCTAAAATCTTGTACGTCTTTACAATGACCTGTCACCAATCTCAACATTCATTTGTTTCCTACTCCAAATTATATGGCACCCGATGAATTCAGTGTATCTTGATAGGCAAAAAGATTGTTGATTACTTATTATTAGCCACGCTAGTCGGATAAATGAGGAGACTTAATTTTGGTGAGTTTTGATTGTAACATTGGCTCTCGTACGTTTTGCCTCATTTTGTATTATACCCGTTGTTAGCGCCAGTGACTGACTTCACAAAACCGGTTAAACGCGTTGTCTCAAAATGTTAGCATTTTTTCCCATTCTTAGTTTTGAAACCTCATCTTACAGTTCTCTGGGTCCCTTGTTTGATACCTCTACCATTCTATTGTGGTCCAAAATCAAGAACGTGTAAACACTATACCAATTGTTGGCTCCAATCATATGAAAGAAGAAGAATTAATGTGTACGACTAGCTAGTGATTTTTTTTTTTTTGTCAAGTTTCATTCATTCATTTCAGTTTCTGTTTAAAAATAAACGATAGAATCATAGCCTACTAATCGGAAACTCAATGATTTCAAAGTTTGTTTCCATTCTTCAAAGAGACTACTTCTCTAATTAAAAATTGTTTAGTAGATCCAAAAAAGATGAAACTATGACCAAGTCCAAAGACTTAGTATATGTCTCTCAGATTAGGACATCTCTCGGTATGTTTTGTTTAAAGTTTTATATTAAGATTATACGGTCAAGATCTAATTGAATGATGATATAGTAGTAAAAGCTTGTAAACATAAAAATAGAGAAGACTCATAAAGAAAAGAAAAACATGTTACAGCATATATGTTGGTTAACTTGAATGATATCAATCAAGTTGATAATGTGTGTTTGATGAACAATACAAAGATCATAACAGTACTACAGTTTAGAAGGAAGAGGTAAAGAATTGATATCAAAAACTTTAAAGATAAAACGAGTGGGATGAATAGAAAAATGAGTGTGAAGAATAGAACCAACGGTCGCGATAAGTTCTCTCTTAACTTGTTTGGTGATACCTCCCATTGACACAATCTCTGCATATGCAGCTGCTTCTTTGTTCCCTCCAAACACTATCTCTACTGATCCCTTCAACACCACCATCACTAACTGCAATGGACATGCAAATTTTATTGAGTATATTTAGTAAACATACAAGTTGGAAGATTTGTTATCTCCTACATCTTCACAACACACATAATATGAATATTTAGAGGAAAAACTCTTGGCCACAGACTATTAATATCGATATTCCCTGTTTTGTACATATAAACAAATAAATAATTGTGATGTTGACTTTTTTTTTCCTTAACTTTTTGTCTTTTTCGAACAATTTACGTGAAATCTAGTAAACAAAGCTTATTATTATTAATACTTTAATAGCAACCAAGTAAACTAAATAATATAGTAACTTTCGTTTTATTTAAGCGAGACCCAAGAATTTTATAGGATGTCTCAATTATCTTATATTTTCTAATAGAAGAAAAAAGGATTAAAATAAACTCTTTCCATTTTACAGCAACAAGTGTTCTTTTGAAATATTGTTTTGTTTCACAAAAATGTATTTAAATTCCAAAATAATTGAGTGTATGTGGAAAAGATACTTTATTATTAAAAAGACATCACAATATATAACTTCAGAATGGATAAAGTATTTGATCACTATTGAATTCCATTAAATAAAAAAGTGCATCTGAAAATTTAAAGAAATGCATCAGCAAGTCAAGGAATTCTTTTTTTGTTTGATTTTAAAACTTAAAAGGAGATTTCTGAAGGAAAGAGAGATTAAAGTTTAAGAGAGGTTTCTTACGTTCTGAGGTCGTCCGACGATGGAAGCGACGGCTTTGGTGACTTCCGAGTAGAACGGATCGGTGTTAACGCCGTCAAAATTGACGTTGGTTGTAATGTAAAGACAAGGCATTTTCTCACCGTCCGTTTCTTGATGCCGTTAAGCTTGTTGCCAAGAATCTCAAGAAACCAAAAGAGAGGATTTATATGGAGTTTGGAAGTTGTGGAAGAGAAGATCTCATATATAGAGCTAAATTATCGGCTTCTAAATTAATGAGATAAATTAATTGTATTGCATTATTTTAAAATTCGTTTTGATGTGAACAATGTTTGAAATAATATCTTTGAGTTTCAAATCTGACAACTTGGGGACGTGACTCAATCAATTACCACAACTACGTCGCCCTCGAAGAAATTTGTTTTCATACCATATTGGACCACACACACAAAAAAACCAAGTCCGTGATTTTTTGTTAAAAATGTTAATAAAGGATAAAAACTTGAGTGTTGTTGTAAGTGTTATTAATATTTGTATTTTCTCCGTAATGGGTTAGGAAAATGCTTAAGAGATTCGTTTTAGATGATTAGATCATTGACCATTTATTTTAAATTGTGTTTTCATATACATCCATGTGGTCCGTATGTAGCGCCGTTACTTCGTCTTAAGAAAACTGTTTCCTTTATTTTTCAACTGTCACTATAAACCGGTTGCCTACAACTATACGTTTTATCTGCAATTAATCTTCTCAGTTATCACTTTTGAAATATGGAAAACGTTGTATTTATGGTTTCATATCTATACTATATAAAAGTCGAGACTATAAGGCTCTGAGACCGTCCATCTAGGATTTTAAACGACCAATCGCGGTTGGTCATCTTGCTAATTAACATTTTTTACCATCTCATTAATTAACTTTTCTAAGTTTTACAAATTTTCTATATTAAGATATTTATTATATGGAAAATAATATATATATGGAAAGAAGAGATATGTAAACTTTTGAAAATATAACATACGGAAATAAAAAATGTAAAATTTAATTATTAAAATATGCAAAAAATATCTTTATTAACGAATTTAAATTTATGAATTTATAAACAATATCTTGGTAGAAAGGAGAATATATATATATATATATATATATATATATTCACACAAAAGACATATAAATTTTGTTGATGTCAAAAAAAAAAAAGACATATAAATTTTGTTATTGTAATATCTAAAAGTCGAGGCTATAAGCTTCTGAGGCAGTCCACGTGGAATTTTAAACCACCAATCGCTGTTTGACATATCATTAGTTAACGTTTTTGAAATTACTATTATTTTTTATTTTTTTTTAGATTTTTGTAAAATGGAAAAAGCAACATATGGAAATAAAAGAAATATTCGAAAATATGGAAAATTTTCTAAATATTTTGTCATGAAAAAATACATAATTTAAAAATTATCAAAATATAAATTATATATATTTTAAGTTTATACAATTTTAAACGAAAATACAGAATTTATTTTTAGTCTCACTACATTTATTAGTAACTTCATTTTCAATAACAATAGCCATTTAATCACAATAGCTATCTCATTGAATGATATTTTAAAAATTTAAGATTTTTATTTTAAAAGTATTTATAGATAGGAAGAAATATGACAATTTATTGAAGCAAGATGTATATAAATTTTGTAATTTTAATACATAAAATAATTTATATTAGTCTCACAAATTTGATTATATTTTCATATTTTCTAAACGACCAATCACAATTACTCATCGTTAATTAACATTATTAAATTATAATATTTTATACAGTAAAATATTTATGAAAAAGAAAGAAATAAATATATATATATATAAATATATATGAAAATAATAGACTGGTAAATGTTTAAAAAAACAACATATGGAAGTAAATAAAAGCAATATATAGAAAAAATAAATGTAAATTTTTGAAAAACAATATGTGGAATACATTAAACTTATATTCTTATTTTGCTAAGTTTCTTATTTTCCAACAAAAAAAAAGAGTATTAACAAAAACTATATTCGATTAACCCTAGATCTTTTCATTATAAATAATAACCGGAGGCATCCTATTCTATCATAATTTTTAAATTGTATATTTTGAATCGTCGGTAACAGCTAGGGTTGCTTACTACTCTTTATGAAGGATAACAATAGCCCACACTGGAAGTTGAGTAGAATTTTAAGTAGTATATATAAGTTATGGACCTCTCCACTCATAGCCAATTGGTTTTGAGTTCGAAGCCCAAAGTCTAATATGGTATCAGAGCCCGATCCGCACATGCTCAACCCAATCTACATCGGCCCAACCAAATAATTGGTCCGCCGATCAATGCCCGAACATATTGAGATCAATGGCTAAAAGAGTCATCATCTCTAGCGGACGTATTAGGGATAATAATATCCCACACTGGAAGTTGAATAGGATCTTAAGTGGTATATATAAGATATGAGTCTCTCCACTCATAGCTAATTGGTTTTGAGTTAGAAGCCCACAGTCTAATACTTTTAATGGCGCATATTAAATTTTTTTTATCGCTTTTGCCACTTGTAGCATTTGGACTTCTATTTTTTTTTCTCTCATACTCATAATTTAATATACTCACAAGTTATATATTTTTTTTACTCTCATCATCGATTGTTACGATCGTTTGTTTTTCTGTGTGTGATTCACTCGGCATTACATCCACATCTAATGGATCTAACTTTCCTCCTTCTGAGATGCTATATCCCATAGAAATCAACAACTTTGTTACTTGCATATCTGCACCACCACCTAATATGTATATTATACTTCTGTTTGTTAGATTGTTTGTCATTTGAGACTGAGAGTAGTTTTTATTGTTTTGGTAAGAGTAGTATCGAAAGAGTCCGGCTAAGTTTGCGAATGGTAGATGTGCTAATGAAATAGAGAATGAAACAAAGGAAATGAGTGCTTGCAAAAAGATAGAAAGAGTGATAGCTTTCTGGAAAAAATTGTGAAGACGGAAATTCATATTATTGAAAATAATGAGAAAAATATGAAATGTTAAAAATAAAGTATAGATAAGCTTATGAGTACACTTCTGTATAGAATCTTATATTTAGAAGAGCTACACTAACCAATATAGTGAAGATAGACAAAGAACAATAGTGAATTTGCGTCTACCAAAATGAGAAAGTCGTCAAAGTTAGTCCCCATACAACAATAAATCTAGGAAAGTGGTGGTTGCGGTGAGAGTTGAGAAACATACATCTAAGACCGTGCAAGGAAGCTCTCTTGGGAAAAGTGTCTAAGCCAATATTGTGAAAGATGTCTATGGCTAATGAGGTAACTTATTGCGTGGTTATTTTTTGAAACTTAGGTTGTATATTTCTTCAGTTGGATGATATCTAACCAGAAAAAAAGATATGCAGACTTGTGTTGAAATTATCGAAAAAGTTGTTCTTCTTAGAATACCAATTTCAATCAAAAACATGAATTAGGAAGACGTAAGAAATGTAATAAATTTAATTGATGAGATCAGTTTCCTTGCATTATGAACAATTGGCGTCATAATTAGATAACAAAGAGGGTTGATCTCCAAGTAAAAAAGTGAAAGAGAAAGAGAGAAACGCGGTTGACACCATAACTCCATAAGACAAACTTGGATTATCAAATATGGAAAGAAAGTGAGAAAACAATAATGACATGACCTCTTTATGGTAACGTTTTGTTCATATGTAGCTGAAACTTGATGGCGAGGTTTCTCATTGTGTTGGGACGAACCATTTTTGTATAAGAGATGCTCTGATGATCTTTTAGGATGAATGAGGTCATTGTCAAAATATTATAATTATTTTCCTAATAGCAAAATCTTTAATAGTATAAAAAAAGTAAGAGATAATGACACATCATATTTGTAATATATTTTATACTAAATATATAATAACGTATGTTTCCTTTTTAATAAATTTGCCTTATTTGTTTCTTGTTTAATTGAAATATAGAAAACGTATAATTTCCTTATTATCTTTTGACATTTTAAAAAAATTTTTTATAAAAATATGAATTATTTAAAATTATTTTTATAATTATCTTTTACATTTTTAAAATTATTTAAATTTGTAATTACTTTCAATTATCTTCTTTTTATTTTATAAAGGAAATTTTTATTTTACATGTGTCAAAATCTAAGATCGATAGATTTGCCACGTGTCACGATCATAATATGAGTTATTAACTTTGAAGACCATACTTTATATAATAAGATTTTACCCTATAAACTTTTTTTCTTATTAAAATAAAATTTTAAATAACGTAAATGATACTAAAAATATAAATAAGAACATTTATGTTAAATAGAATAAATAATAAACATTATAGTATTTTTGTATTAGTAATTTTAATGTATAGCTAATTAAACAAATACTAAAACCAAAAAAATATTAAATCAATTGATAACAACAAACCCCGCGTAGCGGGGGTTAATAACCTAGTTTTTGTATTAATAACTAATATGGTTATCGTACAACGACTATTACTGTATTACACTATTACACATGTTTATTTCAACGTTTGGTGTGAGTTTTTTAGGACTTATCAAACGCTAACTTTTCATCGATGTAGAGAGTAGAGTCATACCCGAACTATTTCGGCATGTCGATCCGGTAAACCTGCTATCCACTGAATAAATCGGTTTGAGTAGTCATGAAACCCACGTATAGTAAATAATCGGATAAAATAAACTCAATAAAACCGATCGACAACCAGGCTTAATAATATTTTTTGCTAAAGTGCAAATATCATATAAATGAAGAGTTTGGTTTTACAAGGAGCTCAACCTAAACAATTGGTTTTTTGGCTAAAAAGGTAAAAACAAGAAAGCAATAAAACAGAGATGTAAAATGGGTCAAAAGATCAGTGCAACCAAAGAGACATAACCAGGCTTAATAATTAAACCGTCGAATTTCGGTTTGTGACTCACAAGTCACAACCGTCCGGATCCCTTGCCCATTTACTTTATCACGTGTTTTTCCCATAGGTTTTCATACTTTCATAAATTGACAATAAAGTTTTTGGTTTTGGGATGAAGTCACGAGTAAGAAGAAATGGAAAAAGGCATCGTGAGTTCGTGACTTGTAAGGGTTAGAAAAAAAAAAGAAAAAAAGAAAAGAAAGAGATAGACAGTGTTAGGATATATGCTTACGCGGTCCTAAGCAGGAATAATAGAAGCTCAAGGTTAGGACCACAGACCACTGGAGATATAGGCCTTGAATGGTTGGTAGGTATGGTGCGGACCGGACTAAAGTCGGACTAGTCCGCACTTAATTTACCATTCAACAAATCGTTCTAGTATGCAACATTCCGGACTA